CCAAGTCTCTGCTCTGTCGTCCTCCTTAGGATAGCCTATTTTAAAATACTGTCTATATTCCACTACATTGTGAGAAGCAATTAAGTACAGTTTCAGTTACACATTTCAATCAAAGGAGAGTTCTCGTATCAAAACGAGTCTTGTTATTATAGATACTATATACATTAGTTATTTGTGAGATGCAATTCTTTATTTCTATTAATTTTGGACACGGTTTCATCCGCAGAAAATTAATCTGAAGTTTAACATGGAGAAGGATATCAGCAACTTAAAATCAGACTGCTATGTAAAAGGTCTAAAAAATTTTCAACTGTGGGTACAAGTAACACTGGAGATTGCTAAAACTGAAGGAGAGAGAATCTCTATTTCAGTATGTTTACTTTTCGATTATTTCCACATTTAGTCAGCCAATTTCCCTGATTGTATGCTTCTTTTACAACAGTCATAGAAGTGTAGGACTGGAAGGGATCTCAAGAGGTAATCTAATCCATTTCCTTCGCTCATGGAAGAATTAAATTTTATCCAGAACATCCCTAACAGGTATTTTTCTAACTTGTTCTTAAAAATCTCCAATGATGGAGATTCTACAACATCCCTAGACAATTTATTTCAGTCCTTCACTACTCTGGCAAAATTATTTTCTGGTGTCCAACCTAAGCCAGCCTTGCTGCATTTAAACCCATTACTTCTTGTCCTATCTTCAGAGGTTAAAGAGAATAATTTTTCTCTCTCCTCTTTGTAACAACCTTTTATGTATTTGAAAACAGTTATCATTTCCCCCCTCAGTTTTCTCTTTGCTAGACTAAGCAAAACCAATGTCTTCAATATGCCCTCGTAGCTCATGTTTTCTAGACCTTTAATAATTTTTGTTGCTCTTCTCTGGACTTTCTCCAGTTTTTCCACATCTTCCCTGAAATGTGGTGCCTAGAATTTGATATGGTACTTCAGTTGAGGCCTAGTCAGTGCAGAATTACTTCTTGTGTCTTGTTTACAGCACTGTTACCAATATATCCCAGAATGATATTTGCTTTGTTGCCAAAAAAAAAAAAGTTACACTGTTGACTTATATTTATCTTAGGGATGTAATTGTGTAGCCGATTAACCAATAAGCAAAAGCTTATAGGTTAATGCTATAGACTACATGCATTTCCCTTCCCTCCCCTACCAGCAAATTTTTTAGCAGGCTGGCTCAGTTCTGGCTTGCAATGGGTCCAGGACCTTCTTCTGCTGCGGCTCTGCATTTAAAGTATATTAGGAGCCAGATGGGCAGGCAGCCTGGCTTGGTTTTGGCTCATGCTGGGTCCAGGAGCTGGGTCCGGTCCCCCTCCCCCTAGACAGAGGCAGCAGCACAGGACAACAGGCAGCCGATCTGTGGTTTTTAAACAGGCTCCCCATATAGACCAACTCCCACCTAGCACCCTGTGCTGCTGCCCCTGATACAGAAGCAGCAGCATGGAGTGGCAGGGGACTCCTCAGGAGTGAGGCTGGTGCACCCTGGCTGCTGGCCCCTCCCCTATACAATAGTTGTCTAACTGATAAGAATTCATGAGGTTACGCGACTATTCAATGAACCAATATTTACTGTCCCTAGACCTCACTGCTTCCCCTTGCCACTTGGAATTGCTATTTTGAACTAAGCCCCTACTCCCCTTTCTCCACCCCCACCCCACAGGGCTTCCAACTCCAAGAAACATGGCACAGCACCCGGCAGACCCTGCACTGCAGCTGAGACAGCTGAGGGGAGAGGGTACAGAACTTGGGACAGTAGCGTGGGTTCAGGAGCTAGGAGCAGCGCTCCCAGCTGGGCTTACGTGCCAGCAGTTGGCTCTTGGGGGCTCCTCACCATCAGGAAGTTCGTGGTGTCTGACTGCCCCAAGTCCAGCTGCCCATGTAGAGACTCACCCTCTCCCCAGCATCTGCACTTAATGCAGCTGCCAGAGGACCCCCTGAGCTGCCTGGGGTAGCCGCTGCACCGACCTGTTTGCTCCTTCCCTTCTGCTCCCAGCAGGTGGGTGGGCGGCGTGGGCAGCCCTGGGTTCAGTGGGCAGAGCTGGGGAAGTGAGCAGCACAGGTGGGACCATACGGGGGAGAGGTTGGGATACTGGGCCCCTGCACTGCTGTTTTCCCCACCTCAGCAGGCTGTAGTGCCCTGGAGTGCTGTGTGCATGCAGCACTACCTGTGTCTCGCTGCACCCCACATGGGGTGGGCAGGCACCCCTGTACCTCCCTGGCTGCTGGGGTTAGAGCTGGGCCTGGCATGAACCATGGCCAGGTTGGGGAGGGGATAGGGGCAGAAAGGGGCCAGGGTGGGCGGGGGCAGAAGGGACCCTGTCTCACTAAGAAGAGGGATTGCTGGGGGCGGGGAGAGGAGTCAGAATGGAGAAAGGGTCTGAGCTGGCAGGGTGTGGAGTAGGAGAGCCGTGATTACCTACGTTACCTACTTCCTGTGAGAAGGGGGTTGTGAGCTCAGCGAGCAGGGGGCACAGCCCCCCTAGTTTACATAAAAAAAATTTCTAACCCCTTAAAATCTATTATGTTCTCCTGACTCAAAGAAGAAACAGTTTCTCCAAAGCTTTTCCCATCCCAGCACATAAGTGAATTATGCTACCTAACAACATTTGACTGACCCCAGGGGATATTTTTCTGGAAGGGAGTCCGGCAACTGGAAGTAAGAATTTAATATCCCAACCAGGGATGTGAATGGTTAACTGGTAGGGGCTGGAGCAAGCAGGGGTCTGCTCCAGGTCCTTGGGGCCCAACTCCGGCAAGAGCCAGCTGAATGGAGAAACCTCTGTCCCCAGCAGACCCAGCCAGGCTCACAGTAGTCTTTTTCCGCAGCAGAGGAGGGGGTGATCTGGGGTAGGGGGCGCCTCTCCTGACTCCCCTCTTTAATTTGTTAACTGGTTAAACATATGGTCCATCTAGACTACAGAGCTTTTCTGGGATATCAGAACTATCCTGGAAAAGCGCTGCTGTGTCCAAGGAACACGTCTGCTTTTCTGAAAAAAAAAAAAAAAAAAATTCAGCGAAGCAGACAAGGGTTTTTTTGGCTTCCCAGTAAACCTGGTTCTACGAGGAAGAAGGGATGTTCTGAAAGAGGGTTTTTTCCTGACTTTTGGCCCCTATATATGGACCAAGTGTCAGAAAAGCCTCTTTTGTAAGAAAAGCGGAATGTGAAGGGACCCTGTCTCACTAAGAAGAGGGATTGCTGGGGGCGGGGAGAGGAGTCAGAATGGAGAAAGGGTCTGAGCTGGCAGGGTGTGGAGTAGGAGAGCCGTGATTACCTACCCCTCTTTAATTTGTTAACTGGTTAAACATATGGTCCATCTAGACTACAGAGCTTTTCTGGGATATCAGAACTATCCTGGAAAAGCGCTGCTGTGTCCAAGGAACACGTCTGCTTTTCTGAAAAAAAAAAAAAAAAAAAATTCAGCGAAGCAGACAAGGGTTTTTTTGGCTTCCCAGTAAACCTGGTTCTACGAGGAAGAAGGGATGTTCTGAAAGAGGGTTTTTTCCTGACTTTTGGCCCCTATATATGGACCAAGTGTCAGAAAAGCCTCTTTTGTAAGAAAAGTGGAATGTGTATATCTTTTTGTGACTTTTCTTTGTAGTGTAGACATAGCCATAGTGTTTAAATGGGATTTTACATCCCTATTCCTGACTTTGCCACTGACTCTTGTGACCTAGAGCAAGAGTTCTCAACCTTTTTCTTTCTGAGGACACCCCTCCCCCCAATATCCTGTAAAAACTGCACAGCCCCTTTGTGCCTCAAGAACTATTTTTCTGCATATAATAGCCAAACCCTGCATTAGGGGGAGAGTAAGTAGGGCAGCTGCCCAGGGCCTCATGACATGGGGCGCCATGTAGCTAAGTTGCTTAAGCTTCAGCCTTTGGTGGCAGTGTTCAAGGCTATGGGCTTAGCCCCAGACGATAGAATTTCAGCTCTCCGCCCTGGGCCCCAGCAAGTCTAATGCCGGCCCTGCTTATCAGACCCCCTGAAACCTGCTTGTGGCTCCCTAGGGGGGCCCAGATCCCTGCGTGAGAATGACTGGCCTAGAACATGTCATTTAATTTGTCTTCCTCAGTTTCCCCATCTGTAAAATAAGCCTTATCTATTTAACAGGTATTGTGAGGCTTAACTGAAAAATGCTGTGAGAAACCTTGGTAAAGGGTCTGTATGAATTATTTAAATTTAAGAACAAGTTAATGCTAATGGGTAGATTTCTTTCTCCTACCCTTATAAATCTAAAACAAATCAACACATGCCTTCCCTCCTGCGCCCCAACTACATAGCGGAATATGGATCTGACTATACAAATCAACACATGCCTTCCCTCCTGCACCCCAACCACAAGCAGAATATGGATCTGACTACTGAATGACTGTGCTGCATGCAACAATTCCTGTCTCCTTATGGCACCTCTGTTTTCCTCTGCTGCTTTTTCTGTTGGCAATATGTCTGCTGTGTAGATCTATCAGTGTACTGTATACTAAAGTAAAAGATTACTGGCAACATTTTTCAAAAGCTAGGCTCCTAGATCCACATTTAGGTTCCCAAATGTAGGATTTTCAAAAGCATATAAGTGATTTAGGAGCACAAGTCCCGTTGGCTCCCTTGAACCAATGAAGAATTTTCCTGAAAGAAGAGATTTGTGTTGAGGACACGTTTTCCCCCTTTTTGGGAGCCCCCCCATTACTCAGTGGGGTGACCTAGATACTCTTGGAGTTAAGAATTCATACAACTTTCAGAGACAAATTTAACTATTGCTCTGCTATTTTAGCTTCATGGAAAGACCAGTTGAGGGTAGGGTCAGTGTTGTGTGGAGGAGTACTTTTTAAAACACTAGGTCAACAATAGGCTAGCTCAAATTGGGGAGGGGAGGGAGATTCATGATTAGTCAATGAATGCTAATAGCAAATCTGATGATCTTTAGAGCATAGACCTTCTTGTTGACAAAGATAACTGTCATTTACACAATCCTCATTTTCTTTCTCCACAGACACACAATATTTGCAAGCAACACTTCATCTTTGCAAATAACAGACATAGCCAACTCTACCACCAGGCAGGACCGCTTTGGTGGCCTCCATTTCTTTAACCCAGTGCCTGTGATGAAGCTTGTAGAAGTAAGTGTCCAACAGTACTCTAATACTGAATATTACACCATGGTGATATTCTTGTATTTTTCTGAGAGTTCATTAATATAATAGTCTGTATCTCAGTGTGCAGTCCTCCTGACTCGCAAGAGCTACCTTTCAAGATAAGAAGATGAAATGACCTGCATTCTGAGAGGGAGAGATGGAGTGAATTATCAAACAGGACTTTTTCTTCTCTGACTCCTAAGAATCTATGGTTGGGCCTTAAGATAGATCAATCAGCTTCAATCACTGGAACTGCCAACACATGTCCGTTTTGGTGATACTAGTCATTTTATTTCCCTCACCAAAAAGTAACAACCAATATAACTAATTTTTCTAACCTCAGATGCTAGTGCAGTGGGAATGAGGGTGAACCAGAATCCCAGATCTGAAGCATTTACCATAATTATTCCCCAGACTCTGGGGGAAGTTTGAATTTCTCAGCTGGCTCTATCTCTGAAATAGGTCAAACCAAAAACCACAAAGGCAAACACACATGAACTTTTGGGTATGTCTAAAAGTGAACTTTCGGCCCATGTCTGCTATGAAGCAGGATTTCCTCCTTCCTATGCCTCCACTAGAGTTTTTTCAGAAACAAACACTTCACTTATGTTGTGCCTTCCATTATAACTCCCTAGTTTCTTAGGCTTATTTGTTTTGTAATTTTCTGGATGAAATCTTCCATACATTCTCATTCTTAAAATAAATGCTATTTTGGGAAAGTTTGGACAAAATCTATCCATCTTTTCAATTCTGAAAATGGAAAATAATACACATTTTCTGTTGTAAAAATACTTGAGTGTTTCTCTAATCTTTGCAAGCTGATATTTTCCACCTTAGTAGGGAATACCAAGGACTAATATTCAGGCCAGTTTACAAAGTGGTATTTATAAGACTGAAACAGCAGAAATGTATCAGTGGAGCTTATGAAAATTCAGAATTTCCATTCTGCAAGAAATTCTGATAATGAGTAAAAGTGTTCCCCCAGAAAAGAAATTATTTAAAAAAAATGTCATTTTGGAAAACTCAAGATGTTTCCGTTGAATTTTTTCCAAATTTTTGCCAGTAGCTCCAGGACTCTGAGGTCTACCCAGGGAGTCCCTTGCTATAGAGTGGGGAGTCTGAAAGTCCTGAGAGCCCTGGTTCAAACTGAGGCTGTCATGATCCTGGCTCTACAGCAGAGAGTCTGGAAGCCCTGCCTTCTGTGTCTGAGGCTATTTGTATGTCACAGCTGCCCTAGAGCTGTTGACCCTAGAAGCCCAGACTCCCCAGCAGCTCACCAAGGGAACTGAGAGACCACCAAGCATGTAGCCAGCAGATTTTTGAGTGCATTGGCAGAAGTGTGTCAAAATGGAAATGGTTCCACAGGTATTTTTGGTTTGAGGAACTGGCATTTTTTGATGAAAAATTGTTTTGTTTTAAAATTCTGAATCATCAATACTTGTCACTGACCTGATTCTGCCAAGGATGTTGGCATTGGGACTTTCCGTGGGCAAAAATATCTGTCTGGGATCTCTTTGTAGGGTTGAAACCAATGTTAAAAATGGGTATAGACATACTAGTTACTCCCTTTTGTCTGGATTGTCTTTCAATTTCAGGCTCTCCTGTAGCATCATAATGTTTGGGTTAGCAAATACCGCAGACCACTGTTCACTAGGTAGAATAGGAGTTTCAGGTGGAAATAAAAAACAGAAATGTGTGTGTGTGTTATTTCAGCGGTAAGCTTTTGTTTAGAGAGATATTATACAGTGGTAAAATCATCAGACCTTTCTCTTTAACATGATGTTACCATATTACATACTGATGACCTTTATACTACATGTTGTCTCTAGTGACCTTTTTGAGTGAAAACTGTGATTACACATATTTAACAAAACAAGCACATCTACAAACTGTTAGCACTCAAAAAAATGGTCAGGTAGGCTGGGATTTTTTGAAAGTGGTATGTTCTCTGTTTGGATAAGTGATAATCAAATATGTAGAAATGTGAGGCTTATTTTTATAAAACCTGAGTTTTGGGGCTAGCTCACTTGACCATAAATATATATGTAAAGAATTACAAGTTCATATTCCCATAGTAACAGTAACTTATTCATATAGCATATATACAGTATTTTAGATTAATAGTTTTGTTGTTAAATACTTGATTGAGATGTTGTATACCTATAGATTTGTATCCACTTAATTAAACTAGTTTAGTTGAATGTGCAAACAAACCCTGATGTGAACACTTCATTTTGGGATAAGAGAGGCTTATTTTAGTTATCTTAAAAATATTCCCAGCTTTAATTAAACAGGAATAAGCTTCATTTAAGTTGAAATAAAAATGTTCAAAATGGCCTTTTGAACTGGCTTAACTAAATCTGTTTAAACACATTTTATATTAACCCTGGGCATCTTTGTGTATAGACAGACCTTAATATATTATGGGCCTAATCCTGCATTTCAGTATGAGCATTCATCTCTGAGGGTATGTCTATACAGCAACATTATTTTGAAATAACTGGTGTTATTTTGAAATGACTTAATCCATGTCTGCACAGCAGGCAGTTACTTAGTATTTTGATATTATTTCAAAGCTGGAGGACTTCGTACTCTCCTGTAACCTTCATTGTACTAGGAGTAAGGGAAGTTGGAGGAAGAGTGTTCTGTTTCAAAATAAGTGCTGCGTAGACTTTTCCAATTTCTAAAGTTATTTCAAAATAAGCTACACAATTGACATAGCTCAATTTGCATAGCTTTATTTCGAGTTAAGCCCCACTATGTAGATGCACCCCTAAGAAATAGATGGTTTTAAGGGCAAAATTGAGTCCTGTTACATGCAGTGTGAGCAAATTAAGAATTCTATTTAATATCTTATTTATAAATAGTCCTTCTTCAGTACCTTTTTTTCAAATAATGTTTGTATAGCAGAACTGAAATGCAGTGAACTGTGGGATCAGATTGCACTCTCATTCTGTGGTGATGAATGAGTACCTGCCTAGATAAATAGCCCTCTGGTGCACAGCAACCTGCATAATAGTGGAAGAAATGCAAATTTTGGCCCTATTGTTTCCAGATATGTCATGGGAACTTCCGTGTCTCTTTAGAAAAGATGAGCCTGAAAGACATGATATAGTAACTGAGTGGCACTCAGTTTCTTTGCTTCAGAATCACAAAGAGCTGAGGACAGAACACATGGAATGCACTTGCATTGCATTGCATTGCATTGCATTGCATTACCTAAAAGTGGAAGTCTGGAAGAAAGCAAGAACATCTTTGAGGAGGAAAGAGATTGAGCGGAATTGTAGGATAACTGATATTTTTATTATACATTTGGAGAGACTTGTACCACTGCCACTGCAGCAGGTTTCAGTATTGATTTTAAATGTTCTAGAATATTTAAACATTTATGTAGATTTTGTAACGGAGCCTGTATTTTAACCTTGATACGTAAGCACTTGTGTTAGGAATTAACAGTTTGAACTCTGGATGTGCCACTGATGCTGGGGTAAAATCTGTCTCAAACCTCTTTTCAGATTATCTAAAGGCCTCTTATTTAGTCCATGCAGATATGTTTAGTGAATCTAACTGGATGGGTGTCTCAGACATTCTCTTACCTTGTTAGTTCTTATTTGCTTGCACAGGGTGTAACTGATTACCATCTGTAGGGGTTGAGAAGGAATTTTCCCCCCAGGTTAAATTGGCAGTGACTATATGGGTGTTTCACCTTCTTGTGCAGCTTGTATGTGTGTGTGTGTGGGGGGGTCTCCTACCAGGATTATTTGGTATATCTCTAATCACTTCCCTGCTGTTGTGGGGGGTCTCGGGCATTGATGCTCCTCTGTATGTGGTGCACAATAGTCTAGTCTCCTATGGGCCATAATAGTTGGTCCAGTTTTGGTAGTTTGTAGCCTGTGATGTACAAGAGGTTATACTAGATGCCCTAGTGATCCCTTTTGGCCTTAAATTTAGAAAAGAAGGAACAGAGTTTTTTGCGGGCGGGGGAGCAAGAGGAGGTTTCTTTGATAATTTGAGACATTAGTATTTAGGCTTCAAAATTCCTAGAAGTAAAATACATTTGAACTCCCTTGAAACTAGTGTACAGTCTTGTATGAATGTTTTCCAGATGCTTAGCTCTAAGTTCAAAAGAAAACTTACTACTATTTACTGCTGAGAAACACATGCTGCTTCTTTTATTCTATGTTGTGTTTTTGTGTTGCTGTAATCAGTAGTCATTCTGATGCTCGGGAGACAAAATTACACTGACAGTCTTGTGATGATATAGTCTACCTTTCATTGCTTATGTAGCATTGTTGCTTCTGAGTGGCTGCATAGATATTTCAAGTTAGCTAACAAAAATTATTTCCAGAGCTGTATTGACATCATTTCTCATTCTGGGGCACTAATTAATAAATAAATAGATACCTTGTTAAATTCAAACTCTATTAAATTCTTCAGAAAAAAAATCCATGTTTGTCAAAGGATAAGGATAAAATTGCTAAGAAAATAACTTGGGCCCTTCTAACTCTTAAACTTATAAGAGGCCTTTACACAGATTGAAAAGTAGAAATTTAAAAACTGTTTTCTTTAGTCTTCATGTGTTGATATAATACAATGTCTGTGCCTGTGCCCCTGTTTATATTGGCCAAGGAAGTCATGTTACACCCTCTCTATCAAGAACTGTGCATAAACATGGTTCTCTAATGTTGCCAAAGCATTTCCCTGGGCAAGCTGAGACCATATGGTGCTTGAAGTTTTTTATGCTATCCACACAGAAGCCTTTGCAGTATAATTCTGAAAAGATGGATTCCTTTGCTTTGAACCCCTTGGATGTTTTAAATGCCTTACAGTAACACTTTCAGGATGTGCAGGGTGCTTTGAAGTGCTTTAACATAGGTTTCACTCTTTTATTTGTTACATGTATATTTATCTGGTTGAGTGTGATTATTCTTTGTAATACACATATTTTGTGGACTATTCAGAGAACACCCTGAATCATGGTTTAATTATTAGCACAATTATGGGGGTTGGGAAAGAAAATGGCTTCTGGTTGGCTATTAACGCATGTTGGTTTCCTGCTAGGTCATCAAGACACCAATGACCAGCCAAAAGACTTTTGAGTCACTTGTGGAATTCACCAAAGCATTGGGAAAGAATCCAGTATCTTGCAAGGCAAGTGGGTTTAGATTGTGAGGAGAGGTGCGCAACACTCAGAAGGCTTCAGGTCTGCTCATTTTAAAAAAAAAGAGATATTCATTTTCACATTATTTGTAATTGTATTAGCACAATGAGAATTTTCTACTCTTCTGGTGCAGATTATCTGTTCCCATGAAAATCCCTTCAGGAAAGAACAACTTGCTTGGTATATCAATCTGCTATATCATTGTGTGAATGGGGTGGGTCTGGCTGCTGTGTGGACAGGAAAAGGAGATGATTCTGACAAACCTAGTGCAGGTTAGAGATCTCAGTTAACTGCTCAAGTTTATTCTGACTAGAGAAGCAGGACTCTTTTCCCCTTTTCTTCCCTGGGATCTTGGTCCCCTTGCCCTCCAAACACTTGAGACATCACAGCCAATTCATGTGCTCTGTTGCCTTTGGATCTTCCATTATGGACAGCATATTCTCAATGGGAGACTAACCACTATTATTCTTCTTCACTTTTTCTTGCACTTTGGCCTTAGTGGGGGCTTGTGGAAATGGGCGGAGGTAATTGATGGCCTCCTGCCTTTCGTGGCCCTCAAGAAGCAGCTGGCCTATAAAAAGGAGGAATTATTGTCAAGTAGTTAGCAGCATCCTGGGTTCTGCTTTCAGCTATACCATTGCATTGCTTTTGTAGTCTGTCAGGTTTTTTAATCTCTACACTTCATTTTCTTCTCATCAGTTACTGTTTGTAAAGTACTTTGAGTTTTATGGATGAAAAGCACTGTGGAGGTGAGACCTTGGGCCAGAGATTAGCTTCACCATTCTGACCAGAATTAGCTTCACCATTCTGTGTGCTAATTTTCCCCTCTGTAAAATGAGGCGACGTTATAATGCTTCCCTAATATTGTGAAGTCTTGGAGACCTCTAAGGAAAAGTGCTGTGTAAATTAAGAGGTAGTATTTTTGTATTTTTATATGTT